AAGTACTAATATTAAACGTGATGAAAGTAATATAATGAATATTATCAATGATAACATTTTTAATCTGCATAACAGCCTTTAAAATAACGACAAAAGTTACTCTAAAGTCTAAGCTAATAGGAGTTGCCCGGTAGCTAAATTCAGCTGACTATCGCGAATTTTAAAACTACATATCGAATATAAGACGCAGGGGAATTTTAAAAGATATTTTAGTAAAAAAAAAGTGCGCCTTATATGCCGTCAAATAGGGGTAATATTATTTAAATGAATTTTTGAAAAAAAGGGCCGCTATTTGCTTTAATAAAACTTAATTTAAAATTATTTATTTTTTTATGTTAGTTACAAACCAAAAAAAAAGTTTATTTTTTAAAGATTGAATAAAAAATTATTTTCCTTAAGCTGGCCGAAAAATATTAATAAAATTAAATTTCTTTTAAATTTACTTTGTTGTTTTAAGATTCATTTTTTTAAAAATTACCCTCTTATTTATTATAGATATGGAAATAAATTCAAGTGTATAGAAATTTTAAAAATACATATAGCGTTTCGAAATTATCAGCAGAATTAAAAAGTGACAACGAGCGGAATAAAAATTATTCCTGTTCGTTTTTACTTTTTAATTCTGAGAATTTCGAATGCATTCTAATGCAATTATTACGTATTTTTAATTTTAAAATATCTTCGTAAATACAAATCATACGATTATAAGTTTTTTACAAAAAGGTGGGTTGGGTGAAACTGAGTTTGTATATATATTTTTTTAACGTTAATCATTGTAGTTTTTTTAGCTTTAGCCGGACACACACACATACAGACAACTGCCCTTTATATATGTATAGATAGCATAGAAGCTATCTTGAAGTAATAGAACGCTGAGATTTTTTGCAGTTCTAGAAGATATTAGAAAAAAGATTTTTTAATTCTTTATCTGTTTCTCGTCATTTTCACTTGAAATTTCATTGGACGTGATAATAGCTTTATCTTCTTCTCCCCCCCTTTCTTCACTGTCACTGTCTTCTACTGATTCTCCAGATTCTTTACCGCTATCCTTCTCATAGTGGTCACATTGCAATCCCTCTTTGTACAAAACCGAAGAAACAGCTAAATGCAGTGCTTGAGCTAAATGCTGTCGATGCTCAGGTAATATATCTTTTTCAAACTTTACCATAACATTACAATCTCGATATATTTGACACTATTAGGACTTCGAAGAATTTTAACCAACCTAAATAGGACCAATATTTCTTTTTGTGACATTAATATTCGTAAATCTCATATTTTTGATGGATTTATATTCATCAAGAGTGGCACAGAATCGAACTTTTTCCCTAATCATTATTTTAAAATGATTTACCAGTTCACACTTGATTAAGATTATAGATTATAGAAAATACTCACCATTTTTACAGACTGTCTCGTATTTGGCTATAGGTTATCATATTTGTTTTTAGTAAAAATTTTGAAGCAATAGAACTGAAACTAATTAATATCTTTTGTCTTTTAACTACTTCACCTTCATTGTTCGAGTCAAAATCATTCATCTTATCCATAACTTTTAAGTGAGCAATCAATCCAGTTTTTGAACCTCCACCACATTTTAGCACTGTTTTGATTTCTTCGACATTGTATGAAAGGGACTAAAATGCTAATTAATTTAAAAGTAAATAACATCTTCACAAAATTGTGCTGCTTGTTGCTGGAGATCAGTTAAATGAATTTAGAATAGTGTGTATCATACAAGAAGAGGACATTACTGTAAGTTGCGCAGGCGCAGTGCTCTGTCATACAGTTCCCAGTTATACTAAAACATCTTTATTCATCTGAAACTCTTTTTTCAAATTTCTGATGACAGAACACTGTACTTTAGTATTAACTTTTTATATTCGCCTAATTATAGCTTTATTGGTTAATTCCTACAATGACAATTACTGCAATGTTATATATATATATATATATATATATATATATATATATATATATATATATTATATTATTATATTTGTTTTATATTTGTCTTCTGCACAGTATAGTAGGGTCACTTTGGCACCGTCTATGAGAAAAATAACACCATTACGCAATTCATTCTGCCAGAAATCGGGAAACGACCTACTGTACTGCTTGGCATTCACGCCGGAATCTCCAATACAAATATTTCAGAGTACTTATGTGTCAATCTGAGGACAGTGCAGAGTATTTGGAAATTATATATCCAGTCAACATCAAGATCTTTGGAGTAATCACTAGTGATTTGATCCCGAACTACCACCAATCAGGATGAATGGACGTTCTCTCGGGGAAGCACCGTGTCTTGAAAGATTGTTGGGCCTCAAACTTACATCCGATCTCAAGTGGAACTAGTGTATACGATCCATTGCTAAGGATGCAGGTAAGATGGCCGATTCTATGTACCGATCCAGTAAGTACTTAACTCCATCTGCTATCCTCTATCTTTACAAGAGGTAGGTCAGGCCAAAAATTGAATACTGTTTTCATATTTGTCGAGAACTGCCTAGACCTCACTCTCTAGCCTTGATAACGTCAAAAGCATCTCCGAGCCCTTGTGGGTGACGAATTATTCTCCACGCTTCAACCTCTCTCCAACAGGCAGGATATGGCACGGAAAGTGCTCAGACGAACTACATTCCCTGGTCCCGCGGAGGCAAATCTTCTCAGTAAGAACACGTCATGTCACTTATATAGCAAACCATCCATATTCCCTCCGTGGACCCGACTCCCAACTGGGTGTTTCCCCGATCACTACAATCTTAACCTGTTCAAGTCTAGGGCTAACCGTTATCTTCCACTCCGATACACACAAATGGCCCCCAAAACGTAACTCTCTACCTCAAGTGTCCCCCGCGTCTTGTAAACGGTGAACCTCGGAGTAAACAAAAGGTCTGGAATGAGCCTTAGACTCAATAGACGTTCAAGACAAGAAGCCTCATTGAAAGTATGAGTATTAATCATGGTTGGAGCAAAGTTAAGGTGTCGATGAAATGCTACTAGCTTTGTTTTGGAGGCAATGAATGCCCCCACCCCCATTGAACTGTGATAGGCTAGAGGATAGATCAGCTGCCAGACACTGGTCATCCTAATATTTGACAGTGCACCAATACACCGTGGCATCATCAGTATATACTTATTAAAGATCCAAGAATGTTCTCCTGCAGATCGTTAACATGTAGCAGAAAGAGGGTAAGTCCAATCGGAGAGCCTTACATTGATCTCATGTGCTTCACAGGACTAGCTATTAACAACGATCTCCAAAGACCTACCTGATAAGAAAATTTTGTTTACTGAGTAGACTCATCCAGAGATTCTATACCTGAATAGTTTGTGTAGTAACCCCATATTCCACACTTTATCAAAGGTCTTCGAGATATCTAAAGCAATCGCCCACGAGTTATGTTTATTATCAAGCGTTTCAATGATTCTGTGCGAATGATAGTTAAGATATCAACAGTGGACCTAGAGGAGCGAAAACCGTAAAGTTTGTCGCTCAAGAGGTTGTTTCTTTGTTGATGATAACTTCAAAAGTTTTGCTGACGGGTCGATATTGGTACAGAGACAAAGTCTCACTCGAATTTTTGTAAATAGGGTATTCACTTGACACCTTTCATAGGCGTGGGACACACTTCTCCATGTAGCAGAGGTTAAACAGATTTGCTAAGACTGAAAATACTTATGAACCAAGCTTCTTGAGAAAAGGCACAATGATTTTATCCGTACCATTAGCCTTCATAGAGTGAAGGCTTTTGATATGTCTGGTCACTTCCCAAGCTGACATAGAGATATTGCAAAGCTTATGTTCATGCGGTCAGGTAAGGAATGCCTCTTGTTGCCTAACGCAGAGATAGAGGCAAAATTCATTGCAAAGAGCTTAGACTTATCTGATGAGAATGAGATAACATCATGGCCATTTATAATGGAAGGCATTGATATTTTGCCTCAATTGAGAATTGCGTTTGCGATTTCCAGGACATGCGGGATTCAATATTTTTGTTTTCAACTACCTGTGCATACATTCTCTTTGGATTTTCTAGAACTCTCCTGAAGTGATTGCGAGTAGTTTTGAATGAGACAAGTGTTCCTTTTGATAGATAGTTGCTGTTAAGGTGGGCCAAGGCAGCGGCACATTCAGGTGTGAACCAAGACTTGGCTTTTGTTGGTATGTTTTGTGGGCGACAAACTTTCCCTGCTGGAGAGAATCCATTCGAAAATGAAGGAGGATGTCATGGAAGCTCCATTTTGAAAAAAAAAGTTGCTAAAAGAGGTTCTTCTGCAATATAAAATCTGAAGCTGTCCCAATCAATTTTGGTGTATCGGTAGATTGTCCTATGTAATGACACATTTTGCATCAACCTTGGTATAGATCAATGAATGATCTGAGGTTCCCATCAATCGTGTTTCAGTGGACGAAACACTTGGAATGTTGCTATCTTGTTTCCATGACCCCTCACCTCCCTATACCAAAATATAAGTATAGTTAACGCATCCAGGCATCCATACAAAAAGTAGACCCACGTCTCCAATTTTACTCTCAATTAAAAATATAAACGACAATTAAAACATGTTTTCCTATAGGCTTGTTGTCGTGTACTTTAAAAGATTTTGTATTTTGTGTTAATTATTTTGCTATAATTTCGTAAAAGAATATGATTATGTAACAGCATTATATTGTCAAAATTTAAATTCTCTTGAACTAACAAATAAAAAAATGGTCTCCTTGTTGAAGTAAAATGATTTATTACATATGTTAATGCTCTTGTATTTTTATCTGGTAGGTCAACTTTGCACTTAGGGTATATATATATGTGTAGATAGGAATGCAATTTTAGGGCCTTACTATGGGCGCCACTATCTATAGATACGCCTCTGTCCATATATCCAGAAATTATACTATGTACCTTGCATTGTTTAATATACTAAATTATGTACATTTGATAATTAGGTTGTTCGGTGTTTTTTGAATGAACAATGTATATTCGAAGTTTTATTACATTTTTTTCCAAGGAGGAAAGAGAGAGGGGGAGGGCAAGAGAAAGATAGAGAAAAGCAGGGTAAAATAAGGAGAGATATAAGGAAATATATAAATATAGACAGAGAGAATGTGAGGCAAAGAAAGAAAGAAGAGAGAGAGAGAGAGAGAGAGAGAGAGAGAGAGAGAGAGAGAGAAAGAGAGAGAGAGAAAGAGAGAGAGAGAGAGACAATAGGGATTCTACTATCCAGCCTCTATATCAAAAGAATATATTTAAATCTGGTTCAAGAATAAAATCTTTGCCGTGAATTCCCATCATTAATTATGTTTATTTATTTTGCTGTCATAACTAAGCTTTGGATCTAAAATGCATTAAATCTATAAATTCTCTTATTTAATTTTCCTAATGAATAATTTTGCACTAAGTAAATGGAAGTCGCCATTATTCTATATCATGTTCTCTTACTAGCGAAAAAGAAAGTTAATATCAGTAGCTGTAGTAACAGCAACACAAAATAGACAAGAGGGTGGCTGATGAGGAGCTCAAATAGAAAACTTGTTTTATATAAATAAATCGTAAGAATGTCGCACAGAAAATAGGGATATGAGTTCTAGTCTTCCTGGGGGCTAAATTCTTTGTTCTGTTTTCCGTCTGCAGTCATTTATGACAAGTAAAAGAACCAATGTGATTACTAGAAGAGATCTACTCTTTGCGAAGGTGCTTATGTGTGGGCGAGTACGAATGACAGAGAATGGATTACAAACTTGTTGGAAGCTCTCAAGTAGTTTCCAGACGAGCCACGAATTCAGACAGTATGTTTGTAATGTGGTTATATTACAAACATATTTACATATATTTAAATTATTTTCTTTAAAGTTGCTTATCTCAATGATAAAAAAAAAAAAAAATATGGTTTTGTATAAAGCGATTCTGAAATTTTAGGAAAACAAGTTTACTGTGAACCATTAGTTTAGCATAACATTGAGATGGCATTGCGAAACAACGTCTCTTTAAACGAATATTCTAAATACACGGACATATTACTTGCAATAACTTTCTTATGTAAATTGTTTACTGTTCACTTTAATTATGTAAGTTACGTTACGGTAGAGGATTGTTGAGTTGTAAAACAAGTACATCAATGAAATGTTGGACATGTGAATGTCTGAATGAATGTTTGACATTTGTATTTGCTTTTTGATCGTTTTTGCTTGCGTTTCAACCGTAACATGTCTTGATAACAAAACAGAGACGAAGTAGACTTTGAGAAGAGAATTAGTAACAAGCCAATCCAACAAAATAAAAATATACCTTCAACCCATATAAAAAATATCTTTTTGATTTTTATAGCTACGTAGATATTCATTAGGTAGGTTTGGACATAAAAATTGACTAAGCGATTAACCCCTAAGAAAACATATCACAAAAATCTCAGGAATATCATGATCTGAATGATTTAGCATTATTAAAGGGTTTCTTCATGAACCTGCAAATAGCACTGTAACAAAAGTGACAGGATTTTAAGTTCAAATCTACAGGGTGGTCCGAAATTCTCGTCAACTCTAGATAATATAATTTTCTATTTCAACACTCCGTGGGGTATTATCAAGGAGAGAGATTGATATGAACGATACCAGAATACCGATCAGTTGAAGGACTCCGTCCGGAGAGCCTTTGCAACAATCAACAAAGTACAGCTTCATAAAATATCACAGAGGACATAGCGCCGCATCATTTTGTGCCACGAAAATTATTATCTTCATACAGACCTTCTCGATGTGTGACAGCGGCATTGAAAGTGAATAAACTGAATCCAGTCCATGTGCTTTGTATTACTGTATTATTTCTTGTTCTTCTATTGTTCTCCTTACCTTTTTGGTAGGAGAGGACAAGACTTTCAGACCACCCTGTAGATTTAAAATATAAATAATAGAAAACTGTGCAAAAATCAACAAGTGATTTTGAAAGCGTTGCACAAATATTCCTTAAGTTATTCAATACCTTTTGAGATATTTAAAAAAAAAATTAAAAATTTATTTAGAGAGAAAAGAGAATTTAAAGAAAACCGAGTCAAAGTAGGGTCGAAGCTGGCCAACAGGTTTTTTGTTTCAACAGTTTCCTTTCAACCAAGCACAGTGACCAGAAGATAGGTTGAGATTCTTTTACTGTTTTTCTAGAGGCGACGTCCCTTTCTTCCTTGGCAAGGGTTATACGAAGATTACAAAAAAATTACATTAATTACAACAGCGGTTAAGCAAATTTAAATTTGTTTATTTACGTTTTATTATTGATTTGCTTTGTAGCCATTACATTTTTTCATTATAAACAGTTGTGAAGAATCGTGTTTTTATTTCTCAATATGAATATTTAAAAAATTGTGTTAAGAATAAAATTTTTTATCGATTTTTCAATTATATGCTAACATTAAAACACAGATCTTTCAGAATAACATTAAAAACTAGTGATTTCAGTATAACATGAAACACTGTGTGTAGGGGGAAGGCGATGTTTCTCTTGATACCAACTTTGAAGTTATCCTTTTAAATCTTCCAAAAGGCCCATTTCATGGTCATCCAGACATTGCCAATATTCCTTTGAAGGATGGCAGTAGCAATAAACATCAAACAGGCCGATTCTATTAAATGCAAGTATTGCAATTTTATCATAGCAAGTAAAAGGGGAAATTTCACGTATAAAAATTCTGTGCAAAATATCTGCGTGTGCTTTTTTGTCTGAAGAGATTTATTGATATTTATAATTCGGCAGTTTAAAGTTTTCAACTATCGATCGAAATGAATATTTTGTAAAAATAAAACAACTTTCTTAAAAAAACAACTTTCTTAAAAGGTAAACCACAAAACTAAAAACCCAATAGCAACAAGAAAATTAATGAAAGAAAACGAATCAAATAAACTGAAACAATATTGCGAAATGTATTCGTTGTTTTAGACCCTTTTCCCGCCAGTGCTCGTTTTCAGATATGTCAGCCTCTAGCGTCACGTACGTTAAAACTTGTAAATGGCCAAAATGACTGATAAATCGTGCAGTGAAGTTATAAATATTTTGATTGATATATAAAAACATTTTACATTATTTTTGTTTCTTGCTTGAATTTTGGTCGCTCGAAAGCAAAGAAATATTAATCATTTATGTCATGATTTAAGTCAAACTTCAGCCTGCTGTTATCATATCAGTTCGGCCATAGTGCTAGGCACAGATAATGGAATTAAATTAACATAAACACCCTGACATGGCTCTCTGCTTTTCATGTCTGCAAATACTCGAAGCTCTTAGCCACTTATCCTCCTTTGTCACTTTTAAAACAATTCTGATGCGACCAAACAACCGAAAGCAAAGCTAACAAAATAAATAAATACAAAGTTAAGATTTGGATCGTCATTTGATGGCTGAAATCGTATTAAGTTTTTTCCTAAGTAATTTTCTGTTCTTTCAATCAATAAAAATGTCTTTACATCTGAAAATTGTTCATTTTAAGAAAAAGTTAATTGGTGTTAATTTTCAAACAACAATACTAAAGAATTCTTCAATAACTTCCTGATTAATTTTCAAGTCATTGCAGAATTTTCTTTTTTTTTTATTCTGAATATCATTTCATTAATTCTACTTGGTACTTAGTGGAATTAAAGGTGTTATAACTGGTGTTGTAGAATCTATCATAGTGTTCAAATTTTCTTTCATAACTAGGAGGTTGAGAAATTCTCCAGTAACATGTGGTTCTATATTTGACAATTAGCTTCAACATTTTATAAGACGCTGTAAATCCACTTTCAATTTAATTTTCTTTATTTTTTTATTTTAAACGTTAAACTTTGATTGTAGACTGATTTTTAAATTCTATTTTTATCTCACGAGAGTTGCTTACATCATTCATTGCTTGGTGTGAAGGCTTCATTCTCGAAGTTTTTATTCTTTCCTTCGTGAATGTCTTTTCGCATATTAATCATAATGGTAACTCTTCACATCCACAGTGCAATAGGGAGGGCTGGGACAGGAGATTCTGCACCCCCTCATTTTTGCTGAAACTGAGAACTAAACAAAAGACTACGTTTGTCTTCTTGACCTCAATCTATGACAATTCTATTTAGCTGAGCTGCATCATTTGTCTAAAAACCTCACTGCCATTTAGTTTTTAAATAATTAGTAAAACCTCGTTCTTTATGTTTTTGCGAAACATGAGCTTCTAAAACTTCTATATAATTCTTATAAGAAGAAAAAGTTTGTAGGCCTCATTCTAGAAAATAAGCAGAAACGAACAGTAAAAAAATGTGTATTTAAAATTAAAAAATAAAAATAAAAGCGGTTTACAGTAGGGTAATAGATTTAAAAATATTAATTTCAGGAAAGGATCAGATGAAAATAATATATAATCAGGAATCTTTAAATCTTAGCCTCTGATTTCTCCATCCCTCACTTGTAACATTTAATTTCTTTCATTTTGTGGCGCTGTGCCTGATTATTTATAGATGGAATGATACTATATATTTAAGGCTTCATTTGACTATTGACTTTAGTTATTCTTGTCGCCAGATACATATAATTTTTCTACACTTTCCAATTGGTTATACACCAGCTGTTACCGACGAACTTTGCTAGTATTTTGCTGCGATAAAATTCGTTTTACACTACCGATAAAATTCGTTTTACACTACCAATAGAAGTAGAAGTAGTGATAGTAATGGCAGCAGCATTAATAACTTGTAGTTTTACATTGGAAACTTTTTAAAAATGTTTTGATTTGAGCGTGATATAATCATAAGCCGGAGAGAGTAAGCGCAGATGAAAAAGTAAAGATTTCGGGGGACATGAGATATAGTTCTCGATAAAGAAGACCGGATTTGTTGCCTTACTGAGCATTATACAGAATTAATGTACGAAATCAAGAGAATATGGAATTACCAAAGTGTAGAGAATTTTCATATTTTGATCTAAATATTAGGAGTTAGTGAATTTTGCCCATTGGTTGAAAGCATTAGATTTACCAATGAGTTTTTATGTGTAGTAGAAAGCCTTTTGTAGAAAGCACATCACGAGCAGATAGAAAATCACTGGATACCTAAGAGTGTGGAATATAACTTGATATCTAGAAAGTGCGAAACTAGCCAATAACATCCAGTAATAATAATAATAATAATAATAATAATAATAATAATAATAATAATAATAATAATGATAAATCAGCTGTTCTATCAATAGAATACATTGGGAACTATGCAAGAAATATGGCGTCGAGTGTTCAGTGAAGTGGTACATTCATTATCGTCGGTAGCCGAGGATAAGCAAGTGAAGATGACGTGAGATAAAACAATCTTGACTGACAAACACTTGAAGAGTAGGTAATTCTAATAATTCGCTAAAAATCGGTATAGCATAATGATAAAAGACACCAGACTTAATAAAAACAAAGTTTAAACGTCACATGTTTATGCTATTATTAAGAGGAAAGAACAAAGTATTTTTTAATTATTTAAAAAAAAACATCCTTTTTTCAAACACGTTCTAAATTTGGGTAAAAATCTCGTTTTTTTTTTGTCAACTTTATACTACTTGTGGTAATGGACATTTTAGTGTAGCAGTTTCTGGGAGAAAACCCATTAATTTGGAAATTCTTATAAAAATCAAATTATTGTCTGATTTTAATGAAACTTTCAGAACTTATTCAAAAATGAATGAATTTTTTTAAAATTTTATTTTTAGAAAATCTTGGTAAAAATATTTTTTTACATTTGTTACCTCCCACCCATAACTTAATTTTATGAAATTTTCTAGAATTTCAAGCAGTCCGCAAATTGTTTTATATTACTTATAAGCAGGACTCCTTGGAGAAAGTAAATCATCAATTTTTTTCTTCACAACTATTGCCAACTTTTTAAAAATCTGCTCCAAAACGTAAAATAGAAACTGCAATAAATCTATCTAATTAGATAGGTTTTTATTTGCTTTTATAAATAATATACATTAAAGACATTCTTATCTGAAAAAATTTTTTTTTTCAATGAATAAAGAATTTTCACAAGAATTGTTTGCATTTTTCTTTTAGTTTTACAAGAAGTTTTAATTTTTTTTAATTTTTTTTTTTTAAATTCTTCGAAACAGTAAGAGGTAGCTTATTAAGTTTTTAGGTGAAGACTATATTTACTAAGCGAAAATTAAAAGCTTAATACAAATCATGCTACCAAAACTATTTATCATAATTAAAGATATTTTTTGTGCGTCAAAATATTATATTTTTTAGTATGATGTCTCGTAAGTGATATTATGGTTAAAAGGTCACGTATTTCAAGGCTTGTCTCCTCTTTAGGGAAAGCTCGTGGACATATAAAGGTCTTCGGCTTATCTCACTCTCAGTTATTAAATTAAAAATTAAATTGAGATAATAAAATTATCTCATTTATCAATTTAAACAATAACTGAGTCAGATAATTTAATTATTAATATAATTATAATTTTATTAATTATTATCTCAGCTATTAAATTAAAAATGTAATAACTTAATGTAATATTAATAATTAATAAAATTATTTATCATTATCTTAGCTATTAAATAATGAAAGAAATAACTCAATAATGTAAGAAATTTTTATAATATTTTAAATTATTATAAGAAACAAAAAACCGTTCTTACTTAGAATTCATAAAATTATGTCATTTTTGGTGCCCCATACTAAACCTGGCAACACATTCAGCCATCAAATTATTGATGGAAACATGAAAATAACAATACACCGAGGTCAAGAAATGCTTGTCTAGAAAACTTTATGCTATAAGTAAGCGATATTTGTTTCAGAACAGATTTTAAATTAACTCTAAATTTTGCTAATTTTACGAAAGTAACGTTTCAGAAATGCATATTTTATTTTAGCGAGATTTTCAAAAATGAAAAATAAGTTTAGTTTAAATTTCTCTAAAAAAGTTAAAAATGGCCGTTTCGATTGCTTTTTCGGAAGAATCGACTAAAAATCATTCAAATTTCTATTTGAAATAATCCACAGTATTTTTCTGGAATTAGAAAATTTAATCCTTTAGCTTTCAATTGAAGCTGGGGCAAAGCTTCAAAAAGAATTTTTCTTTTATGAAAAATGCGTTTAAACCTTATGTATACCGAATTTTTGGAGGTACCTATTGTAGAATAATCGCCTTGATATCACATATGTGCACAAGACCAGCCATGAATGGAATCTGATAGACATTGAGCTACCTTGAGATAAGAACACCTTTAAGGCGGGGCAGGTGAAAATACAGTGGTCTCAAAACCTGGCAGGGTAAGTCAGAGAAATATACTAAGCAGAAACATAAATTGTCTCTTTTGTATTTTGTGCACACGGGACTATTTCCAGGAATCTTTCTGCTACACAGGACACCTTGGGTATATCTGACATCAGATTGCAGCACTGCCTGTCACAGCAGATGTACCGAGGAAAGTGTTCTTTCTCTAAGCTGCGGGTAGGAGCTGATATATGACCATCAATACCCGACCGAAACATCTAAAAGTCGGAGAGGATATAAAATAATAATAATAATAATAATATCGTTTAAGTAAATAATCTTATGGAATCTTAAGTAGAATCGAACGTCTCAGATAGTGAATGTTGGGATAAAGTTGGCCTACAGAAAGTCTCAACTTCGCATATAAGAGGCAAGCCGATTTCTTGAACAATTTTTTAAGAGCGTCTTATACGCCGTTAAATACGATAAGCTGATGGAAACGAAAATCTAATGATTGTATAGCCACTCATTAATATTAACGTATATTAAATTATTTTCTTCACGTTGCAGTTATGAGGGAAGATAAATGGCATATATTTTCTGCATCCACAGAGATAAAAAATATTAAATAAATACTTCGTATCTATGAAATTAAACAAACGAATGGAGATTAAATAAAAAACTAAAAAAACTGGTGAAATTTCAAAATAACCATAAATTTCTTGACAAATAATGTGTCCAATCCTATAAAACAAGTTTTAGATCGGATAGAAAAATAAAATTGGCATGGAAACGAATAAATTTATTTCTCTTCAAAATTCTCAGTCTGTTTTCAACATAGACATCATTCAACGCCACCCACAACTCATACTATATTTTTCATTCCGTCTGTATGTTGCAGTGTGTATGTGGCGTTCTTTGATAGACTCGAGAACTCTTTCAGAACTGGAGGCCTATTTCAAATCTCGTTGTCCCACTGGGAGCGAAGATTTTTAATTTCGATTTGGGTTTACGATCGTTCACTGATGTAGTTGACTTAAGAAACTTTTACTTTTTGCATTTGGAATAACTTTAGCTTATTAAATTGATTTAAGTATACTATATATATATATATATTTTATTTAGTTTCCAAGGACTTGTGATTCCATTGAAAAAATAAAATCTTTTGTGCGAAATTCACAAAAACATGTAATTTAGGAAATTTCGGCCTTTAATAAACAACGCCATGGGTATGCACAATGTGATACTTGTTTCGCTGGAGAGTAAGAAGTTCTTCTTCAGGTGTGAAACAAAACAATCATGATCTGCGTTTTCACTTTGTTTTGCTGTTGTTTTATATTTTCTTCAGAAATTTAAAGAATAAAAGAACATTCTTCTTTGAAGTTCATTATTTCCTTCCCTTTTTTTTCATTTGAATAATTTTTGTCATAATTTTAATTTTTCCAATATTTTTGCTACACATGAACTGAAAAGAATTTAAGTCTTACTAAAACTTTGAAAAATTGATTTCATTAACATGAAAGAATAAAATGTACTTGTGATCATTTCTAAACCTTACACGTAAGGAAATGAGTGTTTTATTTTAAATTTTTGGTCATCTGTATTTGATTTGATTAATAGCCCGTTTTTTTAAAGTAAGGGCAGGGTCGTAAGAGAACTACTGTTTGTCCTTTCAATGTGTTGACAAGC